TAAACCATTTACTAAAAAAACAAAGACTGGATTTCTACATTCTCAGACCTCTACTTCTTCAAACTATGAAGGACCTGAAATTCTTTGAACACCATCAGATTCAGCTGATTTCTTATTTTAAAGTAAGAAATTACGCGTGTAGTCTTAAAACACAACGATAATTAAAATTTGTCAGGTGGAACATGTGTCCACTTCCTCACTTATCCAGGGAGCATCACCATTCATGAAGTCAGACCTTGTTTCTGTTTTGTTTTTAACGTTATACCTTCTGTAATAGTATACTAAATAAAGATTTTAATGTACTACATACTGGTTCAGTAAGAGGCACATAAGTTAATTAGAATATTAGCATTTAATTTCAAAAGCAAACTCACTGTCAGGATTTTACTGACAGCTCAGCACAGTAAGGACATAATTAACCAGTGTTAAAAAATAAATAAAAATTTACTTTTTTATTGCGTATTTATTATTTTCCATGCAAAGCACATGAAAGTGAATCAGGCTGACTACTCCACGATGAAAATCTAGGGCCACAGGGACGGAGAAAGGCGTCTACACGATGCTCACGGGGACTGAGAAATTATCCAGATGTTCTTCTACAAATACCTGGATTACCTAAATTAATAGATTTTTCAACAGTAAATTTTAGCTTTCCTATGTTCTTTGCTGGTAGCAGCAGCCATATGATACTTAAACTTAGAAGAAAAATATAATAATAAAAAACCCTAAAGAGCACAGCCAAATCTTTCAAGAGAAAAGTTCACCAGAAAAAGTAAAATACACACAGTAGGTATGTAGAGGGGGAAACAAAACAAAACAGGCATGTAACAAATGTTCATCAAGTGATCATCACTAACATTCTGTTATTACCAAAGTGACTGCCCATATTGTCAACTGTTTATTAGGTATAAATACCTAAAACTAACTTAAAATTATGTTTGAATAAATCAACAGTTTAGTGTTTCTGACAAACATTGAAGTCTTTTTACTTCATTACTGCTATACATTCCTTTAAAATGTTCTTTTCATAACACATAATCATCTAAAAGAAATATGGTACAATACTTCCCAATAGGTCTCTCACTCCCACGTTCAGTAATGCTGCAGCGCATTAAATGGTACCTATTAACTAGACCTAAAAGACAATGGGTGAATAATAAATACAAAAAATATTTTGAATGAACTATTCAGATTAAATTGGTTAATGCTACTTAAGATTGCACTTTGTGCTACTGATTTGCCCCACACAGACTACACATTGCTATTTGGAAGGGCTGGTCCATGTCCACTTTTTAAAATCTTCTGTAATATCTGTAACTGTATACCCAGTTAATTAATAGATACTTGCTGAAACAATGGGTATAAAAATTTAATGTAGACCTTTCATCCATATTCTTCTCATATATTCACTCGTAATTATTTTGGGGATGAGAATATGACGTGATATGAGATTCAAGTTAAGTAAAATAAAAAACTATGGGCTTAGGTCTTCTTGGGTAATGGTGCAAGTCTTTATACTGAGAATAAAACAACCAACTTCTATACATCACCAAGAAACTTATTAGCACAGGGGAAGTGCCTTTTACTGAGGCACCCAAAGAGCAAAGTGTCCACTGTTTATTCGTATTATGCTTTCAGTTTAACAGAACGACAAAAGAAAAAGTGTCACTAAATTCTAAGTAATATAAATTACAATCCTGGTCAACGGGATTTCCTTTATTTGTGACAACAAGCATAATTCCAATACAAAAGAAGTTTACTGTTACATATAAGGAATGGTTCAGATACAAGTAACAGAATGTTTAGCACTGACTCCAACATGTTATTAAATTTAGATTCCTAAATGCTTGTTCTTTCTCACTTAACATACCTCCCCCCAATGAAAAGCTGGTGTATTTGGTTTTTATATTACAAGATGAAAATATATTCCTGAATTTTTAACAAGTTATTAACAAAAGCATGTAGGCGCCAACATTGCATGAAACTTACTAAGCACAAACTCAAAATCACAAAACTACAAAGAAGAGAAAAGATGACTATCAATGTACATGTGAGTATTGTCTAGGACATCAGATCAATCATCAAACTCAAGGTCTTTCCTATTTTGTCTGATGGTGTTGAACATAATGGATATGTCTAATACATTGACATGTACTATATTCAAAGTATTAGTGATACAAAATCTTGCGTTTTAATTTCTAATTATAAAAATCCAGATTAATCCAGAAAAAATAAAACACCTGTAATTGAGGTAGGTTTTTTACCTTAAGAATACATTGCTTCTATCACAACTGAAAAGTTATTTTAAAAAATACATGGCTTCATGTATCTGCCCCTGATATTTAATTTTCTATGTTTTAAAGTACTTGATCAAGTGTGACAGTGCTAATCTACTATATTTAGTAAATTCCCTTAGAAATACACACCCAAACACCTTCTTTTTCTATCTAAAGGTAACTGTAGTGCAATAAAGTCAATAACAAGTCTAGAAAAATGAAACAGATTACTTGACCCATTCTTAAGTTAATGCATGTCAAAAATCAGGGAGGCAAATCATGTTTATTTTAAGGTTAATAACCTTACTGTTTTGAAAATAATATCATAAACACATAAGAATTTTGGATATGCTTTATTATGCCACAAATTCCCAGGAAATATAAGAAATATTTCTGAATGGGACTAATAATTTCACAAATCCTAGCACTTTATTGACAATAGCCAAGTTTTCTAAGGTGGTACACATGTATTTGAGCTACCTTTTCAAAATCTCAATATATTTTATAAATTTTAAAGGGATATTGCAGCAGATCCTACTTTATTTTTTAATATTCAGTGTAAAATTCTACACGTGATATAAATATGCATTGTAAGAAAGAATTGCATGTGAAAGTTTTGCCTAAATTCTCAGGTGCTACATTTGCACTAGGTACTACTATGTAAAAGATCATTAATAGAAATGTTACCAATAAACTGAAGAAAAGGAAAACATTTCAAACTGCTCAGTCTTCAAAAGTATTAGTAACTGGTATAATTTTAAAATGGGAAATGAAATATTCCTTTACTTACATAAGGATTAAGTAAAAAATTCGAAATACCCTTTTTACTGAAAAACCAATACACTAATAAATTTTAAGGCTAGATGCTGAGAGCATTTTCACAATGTCCAAAGTGTGGATGGGAAACTAGGCAATACCACTATTTTTGCCACATATCTCAAGGTAACTAAAGGCAGATGAGTACCTCAAGCCAAAGGCAGTGACTGAGCCCAGCAAACCACCTGACATGTGGGTAGTGGATCACTGGTGCATGCTGGGTAATATTCTCCAACAAGGATGCCCTTAGGCAGTAATTCTGCAACTGTATCAAGTTTGGTTAATTTAACACTGAACTTGTTGGTTAATATATATGGACGTATGAAAACTTCCCCAGAGGCCAGGTTATTAAATAAACTAAAAGGGGAAAATGCTGGCAGCTAAAATTATGTTAATTTCAGAGTCTCCAATGGAAGGCATGGGAGGAAAGAGGCAACAACAGCTGTTTCCAAACTTATGTTATGATCAGAATCATCAGATGGTGAACTTTAAAAATTCTGTCCAGGGTCTCAATCTAAACCTACGTAGAAACTACAGCCAGGAAACTCTTTTTAAGCAACCCAAGTGATTCTGATGACCAGCCAAGGTGGAAACTTCTGAAGTGGAAATGGGTGTGGGGTGGGGACAATCTAGGTCACTGCAGAGAGTTTTAGAATATCTGAGTTTTATTATTTACTCTACATTTTTTCCAACTGGCTCACTCTTCCCATTTTTCTAATGGTGAATAAATGAAGGGTCTTGGCAAGTGTGGGAAAAAGAATCAGTGGGGTACCCAAAATGCATTTAACTATGTTCAAGCCACTTATGTATATTAATTAGATAAATGGGTATCAGGATACTGTTTGAGACAACTATCAGAAAGACAATTCTTAATATTAACGTTAGTTTAAAGGAGTATGTTTCCTTACTCAACATGAAAATGTAATATAAAAGAACTCAAATACTAATGATAATAGAAAAGAAAGTTTGTATAATTCTTCAAAATAACTGTTTTTTAACAAATCCAATAAGGAAGAAAATCCCTTAAATTTGAGGTAGGGCGAGGATTCTCTCATAAGAGAACAGCCGTGACAGTGTTCTACTTCAAGGCAGAAATTAACCGAAGTCCCTCAGCACTAGTTCTGTTTATGTTCTCTTTTGTAAAGTATTACAAATGTTTTAAGTGTGGATAGATATTTTGGTTTTGATTTTAATGTATATGATAATTAAAAATATGTTTTCTTTTCTTATACACTAAAATCGTACCCTCTCTCTCCAGGCTTGATGAATAAACAACTTTTTAAATATCCCATGTTCACTTATAAACCTAAAAAAGGTAGTACCTACACAAGAAATTTAATATTAAAATTACAAATGTTCTTCAGAAGTTAACATGATTTTAAATTGTTTTCAATATTCAAATACAAAATAGTACATTTTAATTTACTATAGCACAATTCAAGTATACTCTTAAATTTCGTATTTAACCAACTAGTACATGATATTAAGTGACTTTTTATAATAGCTTTCCTAAAAGACGACTGTTATACAAAATAGTGACTCTATGTTACCCTAAATTACTTAGATTAAGTTGAAAGAACAAATGACAGCAGACAAAGACCTTTATGAATAAATCATCTACACATAAAAGGTTGCACACCTCAGTAATAAGGCATTTGCAGGTAACTCCCCATAAGTATTTGAATTCATGTAAACAAAGACTATGTATATACTCCTTTAGGGAGAAAATGCACTACCATAGATAAAATATATTCAATTGGTCATGACTTTAAACCATACATTATTTGAATACCACACAAAACCAAAGAGGCATAACCTATCATTTTAATAACTAAAAGATGTTACTTATTTGTGAAATAAAAAGTAGATACAACGAAAAAGAAATGTTTTTGAAATAAACATCCACTGTTTTCTAGAAATAAATATACATACTTAATGTATTGCAGCACAGGAATATTGTTCTAGCGTTCATGTAACATTCCATCAGTAGTTTTAAAACATTTTGTCCACACTGAGCCTGGAATCTTCTACCTTGTCAGCTGTCCAACGACTTTCAACAGAGTTTTATTCTCCTGCTTTAGTTGTTCATTTTCATCTTCTATGTCATCTAGGTCCTTAAGGAAACACACAAAAATAGTTTTTAAAATACTTTAAAACATTCTAAAGGTGATTAAAAAGACTTCAAAAAATATACATTCAGAGGTAATTCATACAAGCAATTAATCTGGAGATCAGGGCAGGTTCTGAAAACCATTTTAGATAGAATGTGCCCCACCTACAGGAAGCATCCACCACTGACTCCTCATCGTTACATGATGATAGGAGACAACTCCTATCAGATCTTTCAGTTTTTCAAGAGAAGCCAGAAATCTGAATTCTTTAATCATAAATCTCCCAATTTTTAATCATTACAAATAACTTATTTTTTTATTTAAAAAAGACCCCAGTCCCCCAAAAACAATACATATGGGGGCATTATGAGGTTCAGGAACTGCTCAGATTGCAACCTTGTGTCAAATCAGGCATAAAAAAGATCCAGGTTCAAGTTCTGGATGTACTCCTACCACTCTGTGTGATTTTATAAGTGTGTGTGTTGTGGGGTGAGAATCTGAAGAGCTGATAGAAATGAGACACACAGAAAAGGAGATCTGGGACATATCAAGTTGATCTAGTTCAATTTATGTGTTAGGCTTCTCTATGACATTTTATTTGAATGAAATTTTATTTTAGAGCTTAAATTTTATTTTAGAGCTTAAAAGAAAAATTGAACGCCACTAAATAGGTAATCACCCTCTACCTTTCAAGTGATTCTAGCCCTATGTTCCCTGTATTAATCCTAGTGCCTTATATAAAACCATTTGGTAAATACATACACCATCTAAGTCTAAATTTTAGTGAGAAGAAACATTATTTCAAGGCAGATTATTTACCGATGGCTGGAAAGCAAGACATTTATAGATTTATCCTTGCAATTCAAAATACGAAACCTTGGAGCAATCAATGTATTACGTATACTATTGGATAGCAGCATTCTGATAATTTAACATACTATTTTTGGACAATTAGGTACATGACTTAAAAATGTACAAAAACAGCCCTGGCCAGCATGGGTCAGTGGTTAAAGTGTCGGCCCGCACACTGGAGGGTCTCGGGTTCAATTTCTGGTCAAGGGCACATATCTGGGTTGCAGGTTCAATCTCTGGCCCCAGTTGGGCGCATGCACAAGGCAACCAATCAATGTGTCTCTCTCACATCAATGTTTCCACATCAGTGTTTCTCTCTCTCTCTCTCTTCCCTCCCCTCTCCTTTCTACTCTCTCTAAAAATCAATGAAAAAAATATCCTCTGGTCAGGATTAACAAAATGTACAAAAACAGCCCTGGCCGGTTTGGCTCAGCAGTTAGAGCGTCGGCCTGCGGTCCAGAGAGACCGGGGTTTGGTTCCCGCTAAGGGCATATTACCTCAGTTGCAGTTTGTCCCCGGCCCTGGTTGGCTGGGGGAGTGGCAGTCACTCAATGTGTCCCTTTCACATCGAAGTTTCTCTCTCTTCCTCTCTCTCCCTCCCACTCTGTCTGAACAAAAAATGGAAAAATGTCCTCGGGTGAGGATAAAAAAAAAAAATGTACAAAAACAGCCATGGCCAGTGTGGCACAGTTGGTTTGAGCATCCTCCTGTGCACCAAAAGGTTGTGGGTTCGATCCCTGATTGGGGCGCATGCGGGAGGCAACCAATTAATGTTTCTCTCATGTCGATGTTTCTCTCTCTCTAAAAAGGAAGCAGTAACATTAAAAATATATATGCAAAAACAGAATTTGCATTTACTCACAAACTGAGTGATGCTGAAACACTGATTTGCTAAAAACTATAAAGATACATGATTCCTAAAATTACTACAACTGAGACTTACCTAATATTTCGAATTAAATGATAAAATACATTATGTGTCATTACTAGATCATATACTCTTTAACTGCAGGTGTTTTATTATTCTCTTTAATGCACACAGTGCCTAAGGCAGTGCTAATACATCATAGACACCAACATTATTTACATATTTTATTAAATCACTGTCCAGAACCAATAGATAATGCCTGTTTCTGAACCAAGATGAAAGGCAGTCCATAAAAATGGAAGAATTTATTTAGAATAAGGATTCTCAAATACCTGAGGTCAAACACTGGCCAGTGATTACCACATATGGCCTTGAGCAAGTTAACTCTGAACTGTAGTGTCTTCATCTACAACCTGTAGTTAATGTCTTACAGCTTTATTATTCTGCATGTAATGAAGACTCTACTTTCTCTTTTTTCATAGAGTTAAGCTGTTCCTTTTTTCCCTGAAGGAAACATCATTTGCTTCTTCTGTTTTATCTAAAGTCTTCTAAAAAGCAAAATTATGGAATCTCTTCTCATCACCATTACCTAAATATGGTCTAGCATTAAGACCTGCTTCTTAAGCAGGAAGTAAATTCAAGGGCTAAAAGCAAAAACAAACAAAAAAACTACAAATAATTATAAGGGAGACCTAGACCTTCGGATAAGGCTTAACCTAAAGTTAAGGATGCATACATACAATTGAAAAAAGGAAGTTGCCCTGGCCCGTGTGCCTCTGTTGGCTGGGCGCTGTCTTGTGCACTGAAAGGTTGCTGGTTTGATTTCTGGCCAGGACACATGCCTGGATGGCGGACTAGATCCCTGGCAGGGGGCATGCAAGAGGCAGCGAACTGATGTTTAGCTCACACTGATGTTTCTTTCTCTTGCTCTCTCTCCCTTTCTCTCTCTCTAAAAATCAATTAAAACAATTTTAGTCCTGGCCTGTTTTGCTCAGCGGTTAGAGCATCGGCCCATGGACCAGAGAGTCGACCTCGGTTGCAGTTTGTCCCTGGCCCCGGTTGGGGTCGTGTGGGTGACAACCACTTGATGTTTCTCTCTCTTCCTCCCCCTCTCCCTCCCACTTTATCTGAAGATAAATGTAAAAATGACCTCAGGTGAGGATAAATAAAAAAAATTTAAAAAAAATAAGTAGTGAAAATACAAAGAAATTTGGCATTTCCTATGGCCAGAAAGTAGCAACTGTAGTTCTTCCTTGAGGGAACTAGGAGCCTTTTACGTGTAATGGTAAGCAAGATCTCACTGCCAGACCAGCGAACACAAAGCAAACCCACCCGTCAGTCCATCTCCAAAAGAATAATATTAAGTGAATACAAATGATAACTGGAAATCAATTTATGGACTGAAATGATGGTTCTTACTACCATAAATTACTATCTCATTAATAAAAGAATGAACTAAATAACAAAATTAATTAATTTCTTCATATTTATATATTTTCATCCAATTGCCAGAAAAAAAGAAAACCATGACACTGAAATATGTAAATACTCACTCTATTTAACAAATCAATTTCTTCTTTGAGTTTTCCAATCATTTCCTCTTTATCTTGCATTAGTCTCACAAGTCTTAAGTTTTCTTGCCTTTCTCTTAATACTTCCTGGTAAATATAATTACAAAGCTGATTAACTGGAAAGCAATTGGTAGTTTATAATCTTAAGTGGCATACATCTGCCAAATCTGGTAAAGTACCTTAGATATATAAGAATCAGAGAATGAGAGGAATACAGAAGTTGTAAAGTATGTTTCTGATTAAATCTATGTCTGCACAAGTCTTCAACAAATACTACTACTCAATGAAGTCCTCTCTTTAGCTTATTACCACCATTAGTAATAAAATATTTTTAATGGATAATATCTGTTTGAGGAAGTTCAGATTTATTAAAAATACTAAGTTTAAGAAATTTACTTTGTTGTACACCTGAAACTAATATAATATTGTATGTCAACTGTAATTGGAAAACAATTTTTTAAATAAATAATTAAAAAAAAAAAAAAGGAGATAGCTCTATGGAAAAGTCTAAACAGAAAAATAATGGCCTTCAGTTTTACTCTCAGTTCTGCTGCTTAACTGACAGTGAATAAAATGAAGGAATTGAAATATATTACTGTTTTTTAAGCTTTTTTTTTTTAATGCAACACCTTTTCCAAAGAAATCTTATTTAGAATCCAGGGACTCGGGCTAGGTCAGGCACCCTGGGGGCAAAAGAGACGCAGAACTGAAAAGGTCTTGCCCAGAACTTGGCTTCTTTGCTACTAACCCTCAGAGAAAGCAGCCAGCTGGCTTCATTATTAACTGCGGCCAACTACTAGCAAGTCAATCCAAACTCTCGTGGAACTTAAAAAGCCTTTATGAAGAATCCCCTAGAAACCTACTGAATTATGTATTCCTTTAAAGCTTTTAATTTAGACCTATAGAAACTAGTTTGAAAGCACAGATGTGAACAAAAAGTAATGATAATGTTATAAAAAGAAACAACTTTAAAAATTAAATCTCTACTAAAAATAATCTTTATATCACAGGTAATCATTTCATTTCAGCTAAACAAAACATATTTTCAACAATCAGAAAGTAATTCCGTATCATTATCAAATTTAGACATTGAATGTCTACAGAATTTATGCCAATAACCATTTGCATTGTTCTCAAAGATACTACTAAACAGGATTATTTTTTAAATTGTTTCAAACATCATCTGTACATTGCATTGTGTTTATTAACCAATGTCACCCCAATAAATTTAATTGAAAAAAATTATCTCAAACACCAAAGATGGCTCTGGCCTCTAACTTAGAGCCCAGAAGAAAGTCTGCAAAGATAATATAATTAACACACTGTAATATATACTGCCAGGAAAACTAAACATTTCAAAGCCAAAGACTATTTTCATTATATTAAAGATAGCACTTGTCAGAATGGGAATAGCCATTAAATATTAAGGAATATAAGAATTGGCTCTACTTCTAAAAGTTTTAACATCAACAGAAGTGAATACAGGAAAATATTAAGGAACTCAGAAACTGCCTAATCATTATGCATCTAGACAATAGACTTAAGACACTGATTCAAAGCTGCTATTTGACTATATAAGGAAATACCCATTAAACCCTAATGATACTTCCATTAGTGCCCTCATTATTTTCCCTTTTTTGGCACTGGCTCTCCCCTACAAATTTCTTTTTTTTTTCCTCTCTCAGCTGCTATGCAAGTAAAAAAAGGAATCCAAACAGTATATCAATTATATCAATCTGAAATAATTTGTAATTCATACCTTTTCAAGATCTTCAATTTTCTTTTCCAATGTGCTACTTGAGACCAAATTACCTGAAGCATTTGCATCCCTATTATATCTGCTGAACCCACTTCTCTCTGTTCGGGGATATCTACTTGAGATATCTTCTTCAGAGGCAGTGGTTGTGCTATGAAAATAAAAATATATGTATACATTTAAAAATACTTAATATACTCAGCAAGAAGAATGCCAAAAATATTTTCTATTCACCATTAACAATTACCATTCCCATGAAGACACTTGGCTATAGTCATCAACTTATTCATAACTACATAAGTTAATCATTATTCCAACACAATGAAAAACATCCATTAATTCTTTTGACCAATATCTACCGGGTAGCTGGTGAAGTACCAGTCATTGTTCTGGGTACTGAAAATGTAACAGCAAACATAGACATGGACTCCATCCTTCAACTTAACAGAGACAATAACCAATTACAACAACACAAGACGATCATCACATTAAAGTAAGTTAGGGTACTATGACAGGGACCTAATAATGCAGACTATCTGTGGTGAAGAATCACTTTCCTTTATTTTTTAAATTTCAATTCATCATGGACCAATACTTTTGTAAGATCAAATAAAAAGGAACTATTGGAAAAATAAAAGAAAGGCCATTCAAAACACAAGTCCAAATGTTTTATTAGATTCAGACTCATACAACTGTATTTCAATAATATAATTAGAATAAACAGGGAAAAAGGAAAGAACATCATAAAATTGCTTATTTTTCAGTGAAAGTATGTATATAGGCAATTATAGGCTATCACACTAGTAGGTCACCTGAAGGCTTGACTGGACTGGAGAATCTGCCTCTAATCTCACTCACTTCTGCTGGCAAAAGGCCTCAGTTTCTCACTGGCTGCTAGCCAGAAGCCTCAGTTCCTCAGTATGTGGGTCTCTCCACTGGGCTGTTCACCATATGGCTGCTGTCTACCAGAGACATGTCGTCTTGGTTGTATAGTATCTGTTCTGCCCCAATCTCCGAAATGACATACAATCACACTGACCTGTGCTGGAATGTAGAAGGGGATCACACAAAGCATAAATAACAAGAGGTAGGGGGCTTCCTGGGGGCTCTCTTGGAGGTTGGACACCATACTTGTTAATTTACCTATTCTAGGTTGGACTGATGATTACGCTGCTCACAGGGGATAAGGTATATCTAATTCATATGTATGTTTTATTTAAACAGCATTCATAACAGAGAAACTAGTTTCACAGATGTATGCTGACAGGAACAGAAGAGATTTTAAAGCAATTTCAGCAAGCTCAAAATATTCATTTTCAACTTTTACCCCAAATGCAGAAAATGATGCTTTTCAAAATGTCTTCAATCCTTCATTAGTAATCAGTTCCAATCATTTGTCCATCAGAATTAGAGTTAACTCTAAAATAGCTTTTGTTGGAAAAAAATTAATTCCTAATCTATTAATTTCTTATGCATGGGGTTCTTTTGATAGAAAGTGTGTCTTAGCAAATTTGGAAGTATTTGATTATAACATTATGCAAATGTGCAATAGTAAAATCACTACTAATTTACTGATAACTGTTACTATATGGTGGAACTCATCATAATTTGTACTTTTCCCAAAAATTTCTACATTCATTTTTGTCCTTTGCTCTTACATAATGTTGAAAACATTTTACATTTCTCCCTTGCATGGAAGACTAAGATCATTAAGAGAACCGGCTCACACTGTCAACTTCATGTTCTTGAACCATCATAGAAAAAAGCCTTAAACTTATGAGTAAGGAAAATAACGATTCGGGGTCATGCCCGAATCCTCACTGTGATGCCCCAATACTCACTGCTAATGTGAGACAAATTTTTGTGTGGGTAAATGTTGCCCCTAAGGTGACCCACCTACTTTGTGGGATGCCTGGGAGTTGTGATCTGCCCGGCCCTTCCCACGCTTGAAAGATAGGCCTGTTGGGGCAGCAGGAAGGTGATTCAGTCGATGATACTTCACGGGAATCATTGTTCAGTAAATGCTATGCTTTTGCTGCTTTTTTCTAGAGCTCACGAAGGTAGCAGTTTTTATTTATGGGTCAGAAACTGCTCTTTTCTATGATGGTTCGAGAACATGAAGTTGCTAATGTGAGCCGGTCCTCTTAAAAAAAAAAAAAAAGGAAAAAACAACCAACCAACCAAAGAGAAACTATTAGCCTGGCCGGGGTAGGCCAGTGGGTTGAGAATCGTACTATGCACCAGGAGGTCTCTGGTTCGATTCCCAGTCAGGGCACATGCAGCCAATCAATGTCTCTCTCACTGATGTTTCTCTCTCTCGCCCCCTCCCTGAAATCAATAAAAAACACATTTAAAAAAACCCATCTGAGAAATAAGTCTAATTCACATATTTAAAAAGCTGGGACTAAACTGGTTTCTTAGCTTGCAAAAACAGAGTTCATCCCAAAGTTCAATACTTTTCTCTGAAAAGTTCTCACGGAAAATTATTGTTTACTTCAGCATACAATTAACATTTGATTGGTGCAGCTTCCAAATTATAATTTACTTTTTTAAATCTCAAATGTAATGCACTAGTGTTTAAGTAATTCACACTTTTAGTGGACCACTGTTAATTTAGCTGATATAACAAGTATATTGTTTAGTTCAGCTGAGATAGCAAGACTTTCTCAAAGAAAGAAGCAGGATATTTACATTCTGGCATAAGTTCCAGCATATTTTCCGTGTCACTGTCTCTATATATCAGAAATGTACTCCCACAAAAGAAAGCAAAACCCTAGACCACACTGAATTTGTTAACCCTTCAAAGTTTTATATACTTGAGATCATGTTGCATTTGTCAGCAAGAAGTTAAAAAATAAATTCTTCATATCACTGTCATGTTAGCAAAAGTCAATGTTTTCATTACATTTTAACAAAAATTCCTTTGCTATCTATTTGTTGAAGAATTGGTTTTCTGTATCACTAAACTAGTCCTAAATACATCAAGCTATGGTATTGCTGGAGTTACACGAACTACCTTCTTTGCTACAGATTCGTCCAATATCTCCAAGCAAATGTCTCAGTCATGTCATTTGTGTGTAGTTTTTAATGTTAGCAACCTGAAATTCACAAAGTACTAATGCTTACATATGAAATCCTGAAGATTTCCTCTGTCAACTTTTTTTTTTTTTAATCCTCACCCGAGGACACCCTTTCCATTTTTTGTTCAGATAGAGTGGGAGGGAGAGAGAGGAAGAGAGAGAAACAGCAACGTGAGAGGGACACATCAAGTGGCTGCCACCCACACGACCAACCAGGCCGGGGACAAACTGCAACCGAGGTACATGCCCTTAGCGGGAACTGAACCCGGGTCTTTCTGGACCGCAGGCCGACACTCTAACCGCTGAGCCAAACCAGCCAGGGCTCTGTCAATTTCTTAAACGTAGCTTTCAAATAATGCATTTGTGGTTGTAAATATATTTATGTCATGCCTATTATAAATGCCACTTAAATTTTGATGGTTTTATTGTTTTAGGAGACAGTACATCACTGCAAATAACCTGCTGTGGCTTCAGCACTTCCCCATCAATTATAGCTGAAAACTGAACTCAGTATAGGAGGGATAATGCTTCCCAACAAAACTAGTACAAACTCTTATGTTCTGTATCTCAAATTACTTCCATCATCATCACTTGGTTTACTATTACTGTCACACTCAGAAAAGGTATATTTTTTTCTTATAAAAAAAAGTATATTTGCCCTGGCCGGTTTGGCTCAGCGGTTGGAGTGTCGGCCTGCGGTACAGAGAGACCCGGGTTCAGTTCCCGCTAAGGGCACGTACCTCGGTTGCAGTTTGTCCCCGGCCCTGGTTGGTCGTGTGGGTGGCAGCCACTCGATGTGTCCCCTCGCGTCGATGTTTCTCTCTCTCTCTCTCTCTCTGTCTTCTTCTCTCTCCCTCCCGCTCTATCTGAACAAAAAATGGGAAAGTGTCCTCGGGTGAGGATAAAAAAAAAAAAAAAAAAAAAAGTATATTAAAGCTTGTTTTATCTTACATGAATTAGAATAACAATTTATAAATTTAACTCCCTGGGTTTAGGATAATACTAACAAAAGCAGAAATTGAAAATACATTTTTTCACTTTTTATTTATTTGCTTGTTTTATTTATTTATTCTGAAATTATTTTATTCATGGAACAAGAATAAGTCTAATTAAATACAACACAAAATTTTTAAAGTAAATAAATCTTTACATTTTCTTAAATTCGTCAACATTTTGTGTTACAAATGACTAATATAAAAAGAACACGTGTACAGTGGGTACACATTCTTCTCAATCTCACATGGCACATTCACCAGGATAGACCATATTCTGGGCCATAAAACACATCTTCATAAATTAAAAAAAAAAAAAATAGAAATCACACAATGTCTGCTCTCAGGCCACAATAGGATTAAACTAGACATCAGTAACAGAAAGATAATTAGAAAATCTTAAAATATGTGAAGATTAAACATATACTTCTAAATTACATGTGGACCAAAGAAGAAATCTCAAGAGAAATGTAAAAATATTTTGAAGTGAAAACGAACGCGCCACTTTGAAATGTGTGGGTGCAGTGAGAGCAGGGAGCAGAGGGGCTTTCCAGCACAGAAGCGTATATTAGAGAACAGAGGGATCTAAAATCAATGTTCTAAGTGTCTACCTTTGGAAACTAGAAAAGGAAGAGCAAATTAAATCCAAAGCAAGCAGGAAAAAAAAAATGAAATAATAATTAGAGCAGAAATCTATTAAATTGAAAACAAGAAACCAATATATAGAAAAATCAATAAAACTAAAAGCTATTTCTTTGAAAAGATGAATAAAATCAATACACTCCTACTCAGGCTAATTAAGAAAAAGAGAGGACACAGATTTCAACTACACAACATGGTAGGAAAAGCAAAACTAAGGAAAGAGTAGAAAAGGTCAGTAGTTGCCAGGGGCTGGAGGAGAGGTAATGACGAGAGGAATAAATAGGTGGAGCACAGAGGAGTTGCAGGGCAGTGAGACTGACTCCTCTGTATGATACTAAACTGGTGGATACATGTTATTACACATTTGTCCAAGACCACAGAATGTACAACAGCAAGACTGAACCATAATGTAAACTATGGACTTTGGGTGATGATTGGTCAATGTAGGTTTCTCAACTGTAACAAACATGCCTCTCTGTTGAGAAATGCTGATCATGCAGGAGGCTATGTATGTGTGTCTAGGGACAAAGCTTATGTGGGAAATCTTTATACCTTCCCCTCAATTTTTCTGTGAACCTTAAACTGCTCTAAAAATTAAAATAATTGCACGTGCACCAGGGCACTTGAACTAGTCAGTATCTGGTTCAAATGAGACTCCACTGATCATGCAGTTGAATGTGATGATGACAGTCATCACATCAAAATGCAACTCAAGCTTCTAAATATTTACTTTTGAGTTCTTATCTAGTTATGGAGCATTAATGACTAACAGTTCAGGGACCACACTTTGAGTAGTAATTATGCAAGAGAATGTTCAAACTCAAAAGAGGAATAAGAATGTGCAAATATCTAGAAAAAGAATATGTGGCCCATATGAGAAAGAGAAGTGATATGATATGACACTGAAAAAGCAAACAGGAAACCTGAAAGTCATTTTATAAAAGAATTTAAACTAATGGTCTCCAAATTTTATTCATTATATGTCCATGTTGGTATGTATGTATATTTACCTACTATTCTCATAATATGATTTACAATATAACCATATTATATGTACATTATACAAACACATACATAATACACATTATATACATATAAATCAGTGACATAATATAATCACATCATTAAAATAATTATCTGTATCACAAAAAACAGAACATAAAGAATGAAAAGAATTTAAAGTTTATATTTTAATTATGGTACAAAATTTCTGTTTTCACAAAAAATTTACTATAGAATTAAAAAAAAAATTTTTTTTTTTGTTGGTTTGAGAGAAACACAATTTGTCATTCCACCTATCCATGCAAACTATAACATTTAAAAAAACATATGTTTTTATTGCTCTGGTTGGTTTGGCTCAGCGGTTAGAGCATTGGCCCGCGGACCAAAAAATCATGAGTTCGATTCTGGTCAAGGGCATGTCCCTCGGTTGCGGTTCATCCCTGGCCCTGGTCGGGTGTGGGAGGCAACCAGCCGATGTGAGAGTGGATGTTTCTCTCTTTTCCTCTCTCTCCCTCCCACTCTACCTGATGATAAATGTAAAAATATTCTCGGGTAAGAATTAAAAATAAATGTTTTCATTTATTTATTTTTAGAGAGAGAAAGGAAGAGAGACAAAGACAGAAAAATCGAAGTGAGAGAGAAACACAGATCAGTTGCCTTCTGCATGCCTCCCACAAGGGATGGAGCCTGTAACTCGGGCATGTGCCCTAACCGGAAATCAAACCAGGATCTCGCAGTCCATGGGATGGCGCTCAGTCCACTGAACCACACCACCCAGGCAATATAACATTTTTAATGAAATTATAACAGAATGTTTCATCATTTTTTAGGATCTAATTTTAATACATTGTCAGAGATTCAAAGAGCTAATTCTAAGATCAATTTTCATATCTGATTTTTATGGCTATGCTAGCAGAATAGAGATGCCTCACAAAAATTTAAATCTTTTAAAAATTTCACTAAAAATTCAAAAATAAGCCTGAGGAAAGATGGAATATTCATCTTGCCCAGCTGTGTCTACAAGTTAAAGGTGATTTTTTTTTTTTTTTTTATCCTCACCCAAGGATATTCTTCCATTTTTTGTTCAGGTAGAGTGGGAGGGAGAGAGGAATATAGAGAGAGAAACATCGACGTGAAAGGGACACATTGAGTGGTTGCCACCCTCACGACCAGCCAGGGCCAGGGACAAATTGCAACCGAGGTACATGCCCTTAGCA